AGTAAGAAGCAAAGGTCAACGTCATGGTGATTCGAAGACTCGTTTCAGTAACAATTATTAGGGCTGTACTTTCAAGATGGTTCCTCAGGCACCCCTTTATTCAAGTTTGATGGCGTTCGTCCGGCTTCCATGTTTCACATTAAGGGAACACATCGGAGCGTAGCGACACTGACTGAAATGGACGTTATCACGCCGACATGAATCCAGCTTTGTAGATCGTGTAAACGCATGTACTTGCTAAAATCTTGCTGTCATAACTCAAGAACTGTTGTTAAATTTCATTATGTGTAGGAGAAACCAGGTCTCCGAGGGATTACTAGAGATTGTAAACCCTCACATGAGGGTTTACAATCTCTAGTAATCTCGAGGAGACATGGTTTGACATGGTTATAAGCCGACTCATCGCATAGACAACGTTTGTAATTAAATAACTGTAATAAAAACTCTCAAATGTATAACCTGTATCGGAGATGAAATATCGCCTGCAGTCTAGAACTCGGTTCAATGAAACCGGTGACCTCAGCACGTGGCTTTCGCAACGGTGCGAAATCTGCACGTGCGTCTCGCAATGGCACGAAATCTTCACGTGCGTCTCGAAGGCTGTTCGTAGTTTTTTGTTCTATCAAGGGTTTACAATGATTGTAAGCCCTCCTGTGAGGTGTTAATTACAATTGTTGTAAGCCCTCCTGCAAGGTGTTACAATGATTGTAAACCCTCGTGCGAGGTGTTACCACAATTTCAAAAACTCCATATCGAGTTACACAAACAGCCAGTAGGTTTATAAGTCTACTTAACTATCATTCTTTCCTGCAACAGTTGAAAAATGTATCCTATGACTGGTTCATGTGTTATATACCGTCCCGCAAAAGAAACGTCACCATGGATAGATATATGAGAAACCTTATTTGTCCAAACACTGTAAACATACTTTGAGACATATTAAAAAGATGAAACTTGGCAAAACTGATCATCAAGGTTGAAATTAAAGTGTCAAATGTTCTTAAAGTGAAACACAACACTAGTCTCTGAGAAAATGGCATCACAAGTCAGTATCTCGTGTGTCCGCCATGTGCATTGATGACTGCCGTGCAACGTCGATACATGGGATGGATGAGGCGGTTGATGAAGGCCATAGGCACTTGAGCCCACACTGAGGAACGCCTGATGCAGTTCAGCTGCAGTTGTCGGCCTTGGTCGGACGTCATTCAGTCGTCCTTGAATCTCGTCCCACAGGTGCTCAATGAGATTTAAATCGGGACTGAGGACAGGCCACTGCATGGTTCTCATACCATCCTGCTGGAGGAAGTATCTTGTTGCTCTCGGAGTGTGGGCACGGGCGTTATCATGCTGAAACTCGTGGTGTCCGCACTGATGTGTCGCTGGTGTGTCCCCATGGTCTGTCGAGCAGTTTCCGCAGCAGTAACAAAGCGATCTTGAAGATGCTGTCGCACAATCTGACGATCCTGACGTCGGGTGGTGACCCTTTGTCTTCCACTACGTGGTCGGTCATCTGTAGTGTTGGTGGTCTGGTACCCTTGCTGGAGCCTGTATATGGTCCTTACGTGGACTTGAAATGCATTGCTACTTGCCGGGCGGTTTGTCCAGCTTGCAATCGTCCAAGGGGTTGGTGTCGCTGAATTCTTGTCAATCTTGGCATGTGGTAGCAATTCAATAACGAATGAATGTTATCCGATCTGGATGGATTTTTATAGGGCAAGAAATGGGGGAACGCGTGTGCATTTAAATTTTGTACGGAACTCACGTGCATCTGTTTACCATTGCCGTTGCCGGGATGCGTTTGGGCGATCGGTTTTATTGTCATCTGCTTTGTTTTTTTATCATCAAATTTCATTTTCCGGACAAGGTAATGTTAAATTTTAGAAACTTTGACAAAAATTACTTGGATATTTTAATTACAACTTTTCATGCAATGTTACTTGAGGTGACGTTTCTTTTGCGGTTCAGTATATAAATTGGTTCAATGAAGACTGGGGTAAGAAATGATTTTGAAACCTCAAAAATGTCGCGGTCGAAGATACCCATCAGCAATTGTGTATCATGCGATTTTTTATATTGTTTAAAAGTTTAATATCAAAATATATTAAAAAAACAAATTTAACCATGTAGAAATTTTCTCACTACACATCATTGTTTGGATATAATATCACTAACCCCCAATATTTCTATTTGAAAACTGAGAGGTATAGTTTCTTTGCTCCTCAGTTTATTTATCATTATAAATCGTTATTAGCAATATACAACTTATTGATTGGAGCAAAAGGCTTGCCGTTCAAAATATATGGCATTGTGTACTTTAATGGCTAAAAAATTGTGGGTAAAAAAATTCCCCCCTCACACAAATCCCAGTTCAGGGCTCAGGTGTCTCTGTAAATGTGGACCACGAACAAGTACATGTCTCATATCACCTTAAGTCCTGTAAAATATAAAAACACACACACGCTTTATGACTTTATGAACTGTTATATGTTATAACTTTCCGATGGTTTTGAAGTATTGTTTTCAAAATGCTTTCAGCACTAACAATTGACAAAAAACATAATATCATGCTCCTAAAGTGTAAACTGAATGTTGCATTGGTACTGAGGGCATGCCTGTGTTTAATACGTCGCTCAAGGGTTAACGAGAAGATGTGACAATCTAAGTGAAAAGAAAGTACCATATAACCGCTTTTGTATGGATCTGTCAATACCTATACTGGACGAAAGGGCCGAATGTTTCAATAATTCGAAAAGGCTAACGTTTTCGCTTGTTTAAAACGTGCATCAAACGCATCGAAGATTATTGAAGACATATTGAACCCAGATCTGCGAACTGTATGCGGGGATTGTAAATTCGTCATGTAGGCTACAGTGCTGTATTGTATGTAGGCTGCAGTGTTATATTGTATGTAGGCTACAATGTTATATTGTGTGCAGGCTACAGTTTTATATTGTATGTAGGCTACAGTGTTATATTGTATGTAGGCTACAGTGTTATATTGTATGTAGGCTACAGTTTTATATTGTGTGCAGGCTACAGTTTTATATTGTATGTAGGCTACAGTGTTATATTGTATGTAGGCTACAGTTTTATATTGTATGTAGGCTACAGTGTTATATTGCGTGCAGGCTACAGTGTTATATTGTATGTAGGCTACAGTGTTATATTGTATGTAGGCTACAGTGTTATATTGTATGTAGGTTACAGTGTTATATTGTGTGCAGGCTACACTTTATATTGTATGTAGGTTACAGTGTTATATTGTATGTAGGCTACAATGTTATATTGTATGTAGGCTACAATGTTATATTGTATGTAGGCTACAATGTTATATTGTATGTAGGCTACAGTGTTATATTGTATGTAGGCTACAGTGTTATATTGTATGTAGGCTACAGTGTTATATTGTGTGCAGGCTACAGTGTTATATTGTATGTAGGCTACAGTGTTATATTGTATGTAGGCTACAATGTTATATTGCATGTAGGCTACAATGTTATATTGTGTGCAGGCTACAGTGTTATATTGTGCGCAGGCTACAGTGTTATATTGTATGTAGGCTACAGTGTTATATTGTGTGCAGGCTACAGTGTTATATTGTGTGTAGGCTACAGTGTTATATTGTATGTAGGCTACAATGTTATATTGTGTGCAGGCTACAGTGTTATATTGTATGTAGGCTACAGTGTTATATTGTATGTAGGTTACAGTGTTATGTTGTATGTAGGCTACAATGTTATATTGTGTGCAGGCTACAGTGTTATATTGTATGTAGGCTACAGTGTTATATTGTATGTAGGCTACAATGTTATATTGCATGTAGGCTACAATGTTATATTGTGTGCAGGCTACAGTGTTATATTGTGTGCAGGCTACAGTGTTATATTGTATGTAGGCTACAGTGTTATATTGTGTGCAGGCTACAGTGTTATATTGTGTGTAGGCTACAGTGTTATATTGTATGTAGGCTACAATGTTATATTGTGTGCAGGCTACAGTGTTATATTGTATGCAGGCTACAGTGTTATATTGTATGTAGGCTACAGTGTTATATTGTGTGCAGGCTACAGTGTTATATTGTATGTAGGCTACAGTGTTATATTGTATGTAGGTTACAGTGTTATGTTGTATGTAGGCTACAGTGTTATATTGTATGTAGGCTACAGTGTTATATTGTATGTAGGTTACAGTGTTATGTTGTATGTAGGCTACAGTGCTGTATTGTATGTAGGCTGCAGTGTTATATTGTATGTAGGTTACAGTGTTATATTGTATGTGGGCCACAGTGTAATATTGTATATATTATAACCTTGAAGTATGTCTGATCTGAACCCTCTCGAGGATTATAAAGTATTACAAGCGTAAAAATTAACACTTTTCCCCTTTTTATACACGTCGGTTGGGGCTGAAGTTAGTTGCGAGATGTAGTGTGTCGCATTGCTGGTCTTGACAGCTCACGAATAAACTGTCTATATATAATATCTTAAAAAATACTGTAAAATAAAACCCCTTGATTTTCTGTCCTTATTGTACAAAACAAATGCCGACCCTACAGCGGTCTGGCTGTATTAGTGTAACGTCGTACCCGGTCGACATTCATGGCTTGGTTTGGTCAACTCCACGTACCCTTTACGTCGGACGACCCTGACATTGGAAAATATCGTTCATATCTTCCTTAGGGTCAGATTCCAGGATCAATGTATAGATCGAACCCCTAAATAGATTTGCACAAATACGTTCAATCACACTCTCCCCAGTACTTGGATGCCATGCGTACATTATATGACCGCTGAGACACAATGGAGTTCTTTCTTAATCAATCAATTTTTGAGGTTAATTGTTGATTTTGCTATATTTGCCCGTTGTGTAAACAGTTTCATAAGCTGATTGGTCGTTGACCCATGACGGACAATATCTTTTAGTGACAGGGACCATTGTACGGATGCTGATATATCTATAGTTAACATTTAATACCGGGTAGTGTAACACTAACGGTCGCGTTCAGATAACGCCGGCTAAGGACTGGTATACAACCTCTACATCATGCACATCAAAGTCTGCGTCAACGTTGTTCTACTTCTGGCCGTACTTCTGACAGGTAGGTCCCTATTATGGAAGTCAAGGTGCCGACTGTATAATATTCGGTTCCCATTATAAAATATTTAAAAAAATCTTTCAAATTTAAAATAACAATAAATTTATTTAAAAGGAAACCTCCGTAAATATTAAATTCGGTCCCTAATTTTAAAGAAAAACTATTTTTCTAGGGTAAATAAAACGATAAGCAAGTATGTTGTTGTTGTCGCCTTTTACGGCAAGCATGGGTTGTTGAAGACCTATTGTACCCCGGATCTTCACGGGTCTGCAAGTAAGTGACCCATGATGTTCTTTACCATTATGTCTGTACTGTTTTTGTCAATGTCTTTATAAAAAGTCCGCTTGGGTCAATGAGTTTTTCATGTTCACATATACTACAGTCCGTTTGACTCCAAATGAGAACGATGAATTGCAAAATAACTCGAAATCCAGAAAAGTGTATGAAACATCAATACGGTACTTGACCATGAATACCCTGTACCCAACAAAATCTGAATTTTGTTTAATTTAAGACCCATGACAGATGAAGTTCTTTAAGAAACTATCATGTAATTTTGTATAGAAATGTGTACATGACACGTGTGGAGTCAAACGGACGGTAATCAAGTTTGCTGAGGGTCAAGTTTTGATGATGTCAAAAAATCATCCAACACATTAATATTGAAATATCTCGCTACACCATGACTGGGTAACCCATAAAAGGACTTCAGTTTCATGATGAACGAACAGAGGCATGCAGTCATGGGCACGAGGTGCACGAGGTGCTTGAGAACGTTTGTTGGATGTATCGTGCCAGAATCGTTGCACATTATTATCAGAGAGCACAACAACATTTGCTACTGAGGATTGCAACAACTGGATGCACTTATGCCTATTCACTATAAGATATAGTCGGAATCGTTCAATGGATTCTACTTTTAGTAGAAATTTCTCATGCTTATGGCAGGGCTAAACGCCCCTTGAAAAGTTTATCATTCTTGCACGACTGCGGATTCTTGACCAGTTGGTAAAATCTCGGACTATTTTTCTGTTTGGTCAAAACTGAATTCGCGAATATTGATCAGAAGGTAAAACAGTTCTTGGTTCTCAATCGAACCGACATTCAACTTTCATGTTGTTTCACGCATGTATTTCTGTACATATTAATTTGACGTAGACGTAATAAGCGCCCCGCTCCGTTCAGCGCCCACGGCGATATTTACTAATACATTGGCTAGTGAACAATCCCAATTAGCACCCTTCCGATTGATCAATGTACACAAGACTTATTTATTCTTGTATAATACGCACTCGTGTGTTCTATGCACCCTTAATTACGGGCAATTAAATTCCGGAAAATATATACTTTTCTTTTGTATCAGCATAACCACGAAATTTACGATCTTTCAACTCTTTCACCAAAATTATATTCTAATAAGAGCCACATAGTTCTAATTTTGAGTGAGTGAGTGAGTTGGGTTTAACGCCGCTTTTAACATTATTCCAGTTATATCACGGCGTGTCAGCTTAATGTGGGAGGAAAGCCCAAGTGATGCAGGTCTCAGACGTTTACCACTTCGGTGAAACCCACGAGCACGAGCACAGGTATGGTGCTGACAAACCTAGAAACATAATCGGCGGGATTCGAACCCACAATCATAGGTTTCTGGCGTGCCCAAAGGGACGCAACTCTGCACATCGAATCGCGGCGCCTTAGACGACTGGGCCACCCGTGCCCCCTCTAATTTTGAGAGCGCCCTGGGCGCTTATTACGTCCAATACGGTATGTATGAATGTGTTACAATGTTGTATTCCTTATTTCCCCTCAGATGCAGCCAAGAAGTGCAACACGTGTAAGAAGGGTAGGGGCGGGGGGAACTGCGTACCGTGTTCCCCTGGTGACGGCCCCCCACACTCCACCGCCTCCATCCTGCCATCGGACACAACTGTTCCAACACTTGCCGTGACCCTGCCGTCCAGTGTTCCCACTGACGCTGTCGTTGCATCATCCACATCAACGTTGCTATCTGGAGCGCCGGAAACGTCACTTCCTTCAACAACGTCTTTGTACCAAGTGTCATTGGAAATGCCGTTGCAAACATCTTTTTCAACCCATGACGGATCAGCGTTCTCGTCCAGTACACATGCACCGACAAGAACACCAGCTGCACTGGTCTCTGCTGCAACAAGCACGCCGACCTTGCCGTCTGGAATTCCGACAACGTCGCCATCTTCAACCTCTACATACACCGTATCACAAAGGTCATCGGAAATCCCGTTACAAACGTCGTTTTCACGTTCCGTAGGGTCATCTGAGATTGCAACGCATTTCAATGACGTTACATCCGTGAACACAAATTCCAGTGACGTGTATCACAACTTACCAGGGTGTCAGGTTCTCAGCTGTACCTTCAAGCCTCAGTCTGGACCTGTAAGTTGGACGATGTTGGATAGTGAGCGTTACGATATGCGTGCGCAGTGTGCAGAATGGTGTGGACGGATAGAGGACTGCGCATACTTCGTATACGTAGCTGATTCCAAAATGTGCAACGTTTACGCCTCAGACGGAACTCAGTCATCAGAATCCGAGGTGATCATCTGGGTCAAAGTTCACAGTTAGACACTTCCGCTTCCGGGGTCGCGTGTTTCTTTTCCACTGTCCCCTCACAGCGTCACCGGGTGGCGCTGATACCTCGCTAACTGACACTTAGGGTAGCCAGGTACGAGTACCACAAGACGGCATTGCAAGGAGTTTACCTGTTAGCGCGTAACCAGTTTACCGACCTAATAAAACAGCGTCTCAGTGTTGTACAAGACAGAATTCGTGTTTCATTCTTGTGTGAAGCCTATTTATAGTGTTCCACGACGTGACGTGCTGGAATATTGCTAAAAGCGGCGTAAAACCATACTCACTCATTCGCATTTGCGAATACGGTTCTTTATATGTATATACGACCCGTGAAGATCCGGGGTAGAATAGGCCTTCAGCAACCCATGCTTGCCGTAAAAGGCGACTATACTTGTCGCAAGAGGCGACTAACGGGATCGGGTGGTCAGGCTCGCTAAATTGGTTGATGCATGTCATCGATCCAAATTGCGTGGATCGATGTTCATAACGTCAATCACTGGACTGTCTGGTCCAGACTGGATTATTTACAGACCGCCGTCATATAGCTGGGATATTGCTAAGTGCGGCGTAAAATAACAAAAAAACAACTGCCCTCCCTGCCCCCCGGCTGGCTACGGCATGGCTTAGGGTCTTTGACTTGGCTTTTCATCGAACCTCGAGGGCATGGGGCGTTACCATTCTTTCAATCACTGGTTTATCTGGTCTAGATTCGATTATATAATGACAACCGCGATATGTTGGTATTGTGCAGTCTGCCTTGTTACGCTACAACATTCGCTCTGTATGATCATATTAAATTTTGTTTTTGTTTGTTCGTTGTTTAACGCGGTATTCAGCAGTATTCCAGATGCATAACGGCGGTCTGTAAATAATCGACGCTAGACCAGACAATCCAGTGATAAACATCACGAGCATCGATCTCCGCAATTGGGATACGATGACATTCATCAACCCATTCAGCGAGCCTGACCACCCGATCCCGTTAGTCAATTCTTACGACAAGCATAGTCACCTTTTACGCATTCTCACCATCACTAATTCACTGTGTTGTTCGTTTGTTATTAACGCCGCACTCAGCAATATATTCCAGCTGTATGACAGCGGCGTTTGAAAAAAGGCATGTACCAAACAAACCAGTGATTGACAGAATGAGCAACGATGACACGCAATAAACGAAGTCCCCTGACCACCCAATCCATTCAGACATCACGTACAACAAGGATAGGTTGCGTGGCAGCTCAGACGGGGCTGCAACAGATGAAGAAGGGGGTTTCGAATAACACATAGGAAATGTATGACTTTTTCAGAATTTTTTCTCAAGGATGGCAAGAGGATTATCAAAATATCCAGGCTCGTTCCATCCAAACTCATAAACCGTCGCTTTATATCATATACAGTTGCTATTTTATTTTTTTAGGATTTGGGAGAATTCACAATAAACCCTCTCTGATTGAAACAGCTGGTTTGACGGCCGCATCACCGCGAAGCTAATATTCACAGTATTGTACTTTTTTTTCAGTCATTGTCGGTAGCCGTATTTAAATAATTATACTTACAATCATAGGTTAAAAAATGCAAAGTTGCGGTTATTACAATATTCAAAGGACGTGTGGCAATACATTTCGTGCAGAAAACAAGATAGAAATCTACAAAGAGAATGTATTTTAATGTTTGGGGACAACAGAGAGTTTGGAATTTGGCGCTTTTCTATATACGACTGTGACGTCATATCTTTTGCGTCACAATGAGCGATATGACGCCATAATGGTGACGCGAGGGGTACGAAAGCTTTGCAAAGCTTGCTTAGGGGCATTCACATGGTACAACTAGTTGGTACAACTTGTTGTTTGCAATTAGTTGTACGAACAGCAGTTTACACAACTCGGCATTCACACGGCGGCGAGTTGCATACAACTTGGGTCTCGCGAAATCTCTGACAAAAAGCTTGTGATTCACTACATTACAGCGTTAGAAGTTAGCACTAGTCATGTAGTCCTTGCCAAACTGCCCAATGGTAAAGGTATCATAAGGACTAGTAGAAATTTGCCCTTTTTAAGGGTTTTGCTATATGTTATCATTATAAGGACTAGTGGACGAAAACTGTTAGTTTCTAACCCTGCATTACAGCTGGAATCCTGGTTGCCGAGTTAATGTTCAGACGCAAAGTTTTGAAAAATCAACGCTGTGCGAGAATTGCGGTCGCGCGGTACTGGACCAACCTCTGACTTTGCAATTTAACGGAGTTGTATATCATTGAATCTTTAACCCAGATTGGTGGCAAAATTAAAGCAAAAAGTGTTAAATGTTGTCCAAGATCCTGTTTTGCTGACTAAAAAGCCCCTAAAATATGTAGCCACCTTTGATCGTACATATATAAAGTACAGTGCGACGAAATGTTTTATTTGACAACTTTATGCAAATTGTGAGCGAACAAAATACTGTCTTATATCCGAACAACATCATGACAGATATATAAGATTTGTACGATTGTGTATAACGTGACACATTCGCTACGAAAACGTACTTGTTTTATGTGTCGAAAATCGAGTTTCCGCTATGACGTCAAAACCACTCTCCTACCCAGAGTTCCATGCGGCCGGCAGCCAGCTAGCATAGTACCCCTGCCACAGGCCAGCGCCATGTGACGATTCGTCACATCTTTCACAGTCCATTCAAGATATTGCATATGCTTTTCATCCGTTTCATGTTTGACAAGTCTACACATTTTCATAAACAAATGTCAAAGAATGGTTTACTTTCATTGAGAAAGTATGCAAATACGTAAAAATCTACTTGTTTTTGTGTAGTTATCCTATGCTTACATTGGTTGTACGGCTCCAAGTGCTGTCATCGAAGCCCAACGGAGAGCTAGCGACACGGTCACTTTGATGCATAAATATATATTGTCATGCAACTCACTGTCGCAGTTGTAGTAGCATATCTATATAGTTATGCAAAACAATATGTAAAGCGCCCCCAAATACTTGCATTAGTCCGTTCTATACTGATTTCTGAAAAAGCGCGTTTGTTTACAAACAAGAGAAAAGTCCGGTCACGTGATATGCAAATTAGCCTGTGGCAGTGGTGTTATGCTGAGTCACCACTGCGACGGAGTGTGCGTCAAAACACGAAGGAGAGGTCCACATGTACAAAGATAAAAAGGGACATAACTCCGTAATGCTTAACCCTCTGGATGCCGAGGTTTTTTCTCTGACGCACATTTTCCTAAGATCGGAAAAGTGAAGGTTGTGCGAGGATTGCGCTCACGCGGCACTGGATCTATCTCTGGCTATAAAATTACCCAGAGGTGGAGAATATTAACTGCCTATTTGATGGTGTAAATTTAACTGCAAATATTAAACCGGTTTAAAAAAAAAGACACTACAAAGTGTTGTCCGATACACCCATAAAAGTACTGTGCTCGGGATTTTACGGCGGGATCGTATATACATAAATGTGACATGTAAGTAAATCAAAAACATTCTGACAATCTATGTACTGTTATTTGTTGTTATAATTTTCATTGAAATAGTCAGAAATTCCGATATATACCGTTGTCGTTGTGCGTGTCTTGGCGTCACACATGACGGTAACTTTGACAATTTCTGTAGAAAATATCAAATCATTGCAATGTATCTATTTTAAATTCCTTAATTCTTCCTGCGATTCTCTTCCCATGCATATTCTGAAAATGTTGAGCCAATATCTTGAACGAATAGACGAATTGATAGCTCAAAATTGGAGAAAATGCTACACTGTGTAAAATTTGAAGTTTGCTTTGTTTCATTTCAAACAAGTGCAGTTTTTCGAGCACATCTTTCGTTTTCACACCTAACAAATTTTGCTTGATTTCATCTAGCCACTTTGTATTGGTGACAAAGACCAGTGGTCATTTGATTCCAAAATGTGTGAGGAATTCAAAGATGTATGTATTGCAGCTAATTTTGAAATATACGTGATGTTACAGGCGCCTCATAACCGGTGTACCTGAAACGTGATTTTGTAAACACTATCCAATATGGCGGAAAGTTCACTTCGGCGTTCGTTTTTGCGTATTTTCCAAAACATTCGAAACGATTTGGGGTTATCGGAGACGTTTTGGAATGATCATTGGTGATTTCATAAAAGACAGATACCCGTGATCACTAATATGCTATTTTTGAATTTCATTTCTCCGAGTAAATATCCGAAATTTAGATTTCAAAAACATGCTGTAAATAACGCCGTGAGTGGTGTTTTGTTAATGTGTAAAAAATGGCGACATTTACGATGCACCTAATTTTCAGAGGTCATTTTCAGTACTTTTGGTTAACCTAAAATGCCATTTGATGATATCACAGAACAGGGAGTTTCCTACCTTATTCAATACTGTGAAGTGTAGTTGTGTGTGATGTATTTTGAATTTAATTCGACTTCAAAGTGAGGGTTGTAGAGGAGGGACATATATGTCCCTGTGGCATCCAGGGGGTTAACATATATGTCCCTCCTCTTGGGAATGTGTAATAGTCAATATTATAAGTTCATATAACCAATGTCCATGAATAGCCGTGTACCATTTTTTTAATATAACTAAAACCTACTATATATTACTTTAACAAAATGGATAATATGTTTCGTTAACATATATGCACACATTTCTGAATTAATTGTCTTGGAATTGTTTTTTTATGTCGCTTGATACACCGAACAGTGATATATATCGATTCGCCAGGTGCGCGTTAGTCACAAACAATTTACGAATTATTCCTCTCGTTTTGCATTACACTCATCAATGGGTTTTTTCTTTTTTCAATATCGTGATCACAAGGTATAAACTGTTTGTTTTATTTCTCCAGGAATTGTTAAAAGTATCGAAAAATACCCATGCCAGGTACGTCGTTCGTTCAACCTTATAGGATTATCCTGATAATTCTATATCCAGAGCGCTTTCTTCGCATCTTTTATTGTGTTATTAATATTCTGAGACGAGATGAAGAGAAATAATAGAATAATAATGAACAAATATATGTCCAATATTGAATATAATTTTGGTTGATTTGAAATATTCTTTTGGGTATTTCACTACGAAAATTGATGCCAAACAGGTGCGTGTCTTGTCCAATTAAGATACACGATAAACTATCTAGATGTTTACATATTCAAGACATTATTCACTTGGTGAAAGCAGTCATTTTATG